TATACATTTTGGTCGTCGTAGAGCCAATTGTCAAATATATTACAAATTTATTGTCCGTATGGATGTTAACAAATATATTGCTTTTAATTGGAGCTAACTATGGAACATGATTCCGATATTCGAAAGTAGATGCTTGAAAAAGAGTCATTATTCCGACCATCATATCTTTGTTCTCATGGGATACAGTCAGTTCAGTCATATGTCGATATTTCACAAAATACATTCTTAATTGAAAAATAAGAACACTGACATACAACAAGACTGATTTATATAATTCTTGATTATGCATACGTAAATACTGTATTTGTTGGTTCATCCTGACATAAACTTGTACTTGGTAATCTTTGTGTTGATTTATTGGATTATCATTTGATGGTTCTTAATCACAACACATCTGTTTCGCCCTCGACCATTGTGTATTGATCGATTTGATATGATGTAATACTAACTTGTTAATTTATGGAGACAATAACAGAGATTGGAAATTCAGATTTGCTAAAGAAAACGATACACAGCCAATAAAGCAACCAACTGATACAAAATAATTTAGATCAGTCACAAGACTTTAGTCACCGACAACTGTATCTTAGGTCATCATCTTGCTTTCCTATCGGGAGAAAACCTAGCAAAAATAAAAATTGTGCTGGACATTTTCTCGTATGACGAATTCATTCCTAGCAAATTTAGGGGTTTTTTTTTTTCTCGAGGCCGATCATGAACCATCATCTGACCACATGTACCTGCATCTGAACAAAACCTTTTGATGATGGAAGTTTCAAGATTCACGTTACATGTACTATGGATGAACATCTTAACCACAAAGCTCTACTGTCCGGTTTTGAACTTTTGCGGTGCATTTCTATCAAATTGCAACATGCACTTTGCGGTATTGAATAATGAAATCATGGTTCACACTGTACCATACTGTGTGTGTGTGTATATATATATATATATATATATGACTTTGTTGAGATCCTTACTACAGATTAATTACAGGTCATCCCCTACCTCTGAATCCTTTGACGGACACCAGAGAAGTTAGTTCTTCGCTTATCACATTCGTCGACTTGAACTTCCCTCTAGTCCTAGAATCATTACCTCTTTAAACCTCTGATGAGAAAGTCGTAGGTGAAAGCGGTTCACCCATACTCATTTAATAATGGGGGAGCTTACTTATCCATTTCGAGATAGTTGCTACCTATATGTTCTGATTCATTTGCTACAAGAAAACCACAAAAATTCCAAGCGTAGGTCGAGATTGAAAGGCAAGAAGGAGCGTTCAAGTTGTAGATGGTTCCCAACTTGTTTCCTCTCTTCCATTGCTTCACTTCATAATCGATATATATATATATATATATATATATATATATATACATACATACTTGAGATTACGTGAGACCAGGGGTTTTTCGTGAGTCCCGTAAGACCAATTCTCAACCTTTGGATTAGATCTACAATCTGAACATTCATAATCACAAAATTGCCATGAGACTTCTCAATAATCACAAAATTGTCATTGTGCAACTTTAGACCAATAGATCATTAGCTTATAAAGTTGATCAATGAACATAAATTGGTTTTATGGGCCTCACGAAAAACCCTTGGTCTCACGTAAACCCAACCCTATATATATATATAAATGACTTCATTTGAGATCTTTACAATTTGTGAGATCCATGAGATCTAAATAAACCATAAGTTATATTAAATTAAAAGATAAATTAAGAAATTAAATATTTTAGTACTTCATAATTAAAAATTCTCCAAAGGGCATTACAGCCATTTTGCGATATTCTCTCTCTTTTTCTTACCATGATAAACGTAATTAAAACACCAACTAAACAAAAGCTTAAGTTTATCTGTACGAATAAATGATCACATTGTGAACACCAAACAATGCAACATGACTACACTGAACAAAATGTGAGCACCATGTAACATACACACACACACACTAAGTGAACACATCGTGAACACCAAGTAACCCAACAGACATAAAACTAAAATCTGTAAACATACGAAATATTCAGAGACTCCGACTCATTATCACATTGTGAAAAATATGAAATATTCAAAAAATTATGATTCTAAGATGCATTATTACAGTGCGAATATGTACTAAATCAGCACCAGAATACAACAATTTAAATTGTTCACCTTGTCAACACCTTATTCATTAAGCAAATTAGACTTTTTCATCTTGTGAACACCTTGTTCTGTAGTAAAGATGCAGGTCAGTAATAGTAAAGTAACGATATATTCAACCAAATTTACATCAAAATATTGTTCCTATACATATATATATATATATATATATATATATAAGCAAAACTAAAAAAATGGAATACATTCAATAAGTTATGTAAATAAAATCAAATTGAGATCCACATTATTTTAGGAATTGGGGTTTAAGGAAGTGATATAAATTAGGTAAATAAAATATTTTAATGGGTTATGAAAAAAATTATGAGGTTACCCTTACATATTAAATAAATAAATAAATAAAATCGACTGTATTAAATGAATAGTTTAAAGTGGATTTCATATGTATCGGAGTTCTCAAATGATTAATCTCGCGTGTGCATACACACACACACACACACACACACATATATATATATGTGTGTGTAGATTTGGTATTATGTGAAACCAGTTTGTTTTCGTGAGATTTGTGAGACCATTTTTTGTCACTTGAAACTTCACGGGAAAACGCTGTGAGGTTTCGATTTTTTTTTATCTTCACAGTATTTTGCTGTGAAGTTTCAAGTGTAAAAAGGTGGTCTCACGAAAACAGGTTGTTCTCACGAGAACCCAACCTATATATGTAAGGTTGAATTCACGTGATGCCAAAGGTTTTTTCGTGAGACCCATAAGACCAATTTATATTTATTGATCAACTTTATAAGTTAATGATCTAAAGTTGCACGGTGACAAATTTGTGATTATTGAAAAGTCTCGTGGCAATTTTATATTTATGAAAGTTCAGATTGTAGATTTAATCTAAGGGTTGAGAATTGGTTTTACGGGTCTTACGAGAAACTATATTATAAAGTATTTGACAAAAACTCTTAAAAACCACTTTTTATGCGTAAAATACTGTTTATTAATGCATATTACTTAAAACTTAAGATTACAAATAGTTTGTGCGTAAGTACAACTTATTAAAGCTCCATATCTGAATTCGTGTAACTAACTGCAGATAAACATAATCAAATACATGATAAACATCTTATTTTAAATATAAAAAATCTAAAATATAATTAAGATAATCATTGAGTTCTAACATAATACTTGATTATTGTCTTTATAAAATGTTATATTATTAAACCAAAAATAAATTATTTCGTTATTAAACTTAAATTAAATTATAATAAAAAAATTACATAAAAAATAAAACTTTTAAATAGTTGATTTGATATTAACATTAATATATTTTTTTTCAAAATTATATTTTATTCAAAAATAAAACCATTATTACTTTCTTAAAAACACATAAAATTGTATTATAACATCGACATAATCAAATAATAAATTAGAACATTAAAATCGAGATATGTTTCGCTGCATTGCGCGAGTACTATCCTAGTGTATATATATATATATATATATATATATAGGGTTGGGTTCAGGTGAGACAAAAGGTTTTTTGTAAGACCAGTAAGACCAATTTATGTCATTGATCAACTTTATAAGTTAATGATCTAATGGTCTAAATTGCACAGTGACAATTTTGTGATTATTGAGAAGTCTCGTGACGTTTATGAATGTTTAGATTGTCATATTGTAAATCCAATCCAAGGGTTGAGAATTGGTCTTACGGGTCTCACGAAAAACATTGGTCTCACATGATCCCAAATCTATATATATATACATACATATATATGGTTGGGTTCACGTGAGACCAAGGGTTTCTCGTGAGACCCGTGAGACCAATTTATATTCATTGATCAACTTTATAAGCTAACGATCTAATGGTCTAAAATTTCATGGTGACAATTTTGTAATTATTGAGAAATCTCGTGGTAATTTTGTGATTATGAATATTGAGATTGTAAATATAATCCAAGAATTGAAAATTGGTCTTACGGGTCTCACGAAAAAACACTGGTCTCATATGATCCTAAGTCTCTCTCTCTCTATATATATGATTTCTAAGTTGTATCATGTATTCTATAGTATACAATATTTATCTTACCTAACTATATTTCATGATATTATTTCCTTTAGTTAGAGATATATACAAAGTGGTTTCCTCTATACCCCTCAAACCACACAACACTCACCCGTGTATATATATATATATATATATATATGACAATTATTATGACTTTGAAAGTTATATTGATCTTGTGATTTTCACCCATATATATATTTATAATATATGTAGGGTTGAGTTTTTTTGAGACCAATATGTTTTCGTAAGACTCATATAATTACAAAATTACATTAGAATTTCACAATAAAACACTGAATGTATAAAAACACACTAAATCTTCACAAAAGAAATATTGTGAAGGTTTATCTTTCCAATGTTTTACTGTAAATGTTTAATGTTATTTATGTGATCTCATAGAAACAATATGGTCACAAATCTATATGTATAATGTATATATATATATATATATATATATAGATATATACAATACATGGGTTGGATTCACGTGAGACCAAAAGTTTTTCGTGAGACTCGTAAGACCGATCTATGTTCATTGATTAGCTTTATAAGTTAATGATCTAAGCTCTAAATTGTATGGTGGCAATTTGGTAATATTAAGAAATTTCGTGGCGTTTATGAATGTTTAGATTATCAGATTATAGATCTAATTCAAGGGTTGATAATTAATCTTACGAATCTCATGAAAAACCATTGGTCTCATATGATCTCAAGTCTACGATACATGCTTTATATTTGAAATATATGCGTATATATTAACCATTGTAACTTAATTTTTATTGTGAATTATATGTGTGTGCGTAGGCGAGGAGGTATTTACTTCACAAAAAAATACTCTCTATCACCACACACCCCCACTCTTTCTCTCTCTTTCATCCACCGCCTCAACAAAATCCCCTGTGCTTCCGGCTACCGAATCTTCCCAAACACAGACACACCAGCCGTTTTACCCTCCCTAGTTTTTACCGGACTCGCCGTCTCCGATCCCTTTACCTCCGCCGTTCACCACCCGTCTCCCTCGCACACCGCCAGGGTTTTTGTTTTATATCGATTAGTTAGGTTTCCGATCAGTCATTCGAAAAAACGTTGTGTGTTTGTTTCTCTATTCTCTCTTAGGGCTTTTTGAGCGAAGACGACGCCCTATGGCTCCTGGGCGGAAACGTGGAGGAGCAAAAGGAGCCAAGGCAAAGAGTCAGTTAAATTTGGGCGATCTTGTTCTTGCTAAGGTCAAGGGTTTTCCTGCATGGCCTGCCAAGGTTAGATTAATGATGATGATTTAACATGATGCATTGGTTCTAATTCGATTCAATTTCATGTATTTGCTACTCGTTTTTAGTTTTGTTTCGATAAGGGAACTTTTCAGGGCTCTATTTACTTAGATTTGATCGCTTCCTTTTTTTACTTTATTTTGTTGAATTTAATCTCTTATTTAGAATTGTTAATTTACTATACGAAATTGCTTTTATTAATAATCTTGGAGGCTGTGGAGCGTGGTATAATTCCAAATTGTATTTTGGTGGTTAGCTAAGCGGTTGTCGTTCAGTTAATTGCATTTTTGTGTATCGCATTAATATCCCTGATTCAACGTTGGCCTTAGTACACGTAGTCACTTTAATTTTCTGATTAGCTTCTGTACTTGTTGCAACCATCGGATTGGTCATAACATGAGCGCAATTTTTATTTAGGATGTTTATTGGATTTGACAGTTCCACTTGGCTTATTGGTGTATCCACCAACCCACCCCCATTCTGGAACTACTGCATTGCCCCTCGACTGCTATCTTATGAACTTCATCCGCTGAACTAAACTAATACTCATTCTCATCCTAGAAGCCACATGAATTGAAGTTCCCATTTAGACGTTCTACTTGGGTGACGTTATTGTGGCAAATTGTCTAAAGGTGGCTCTTGGATCTGTTTTGACGCGAGTATTGTGGCATGTTCTTTTGAGGGTATACTATTCTGAGGACTCTAATATTGCACCAACCTTGGTTAATTTATCATTTTGTGAAATAAAATTCTGAGAAGGTTAATGTATTATGTTGGGGTTTATGCTTCATGTTGTGCAGCTTACATTAATGTGTCAGTTGCCACATGTTGTAAAGATAAACTGCCTTTAGTGGGCTTCTTAAAGCCTTTTGTTTGCTTGTCTCCTTCTCTCTATGCAGATCAGCAAGCCTGAAGATTGGGAACGAACTCCTGATCCGAAGAAATATTTTGTACAGTTCTTTGGTACCGAAGAAATGTAAGCTGTTGTTACTTTACTATTATTACCCATAAATGGTTGCTCTACCTATGAAATTTTTCCATCTTGTTTTGACTACCAATTGGAGACAATCAATTTAGTTGACAAGGTATGCTAATGCCACCAAAACATGTTATTTTACTCCATGACGATGTAACTGACAACTGATTGTAAATAAACAATGTGTTGACAACTGTTTTGTTAATATATCTAAAAGGATAACTCAATCATTCGTTATCTATTTATATCTGGAGTTTTCAATGTATAGGAAATTAGAAATAAAATGTTTAGGAAGTAGGTTACGTAATTGCTAATTACTTGAGTCCAGGTTAGATTGTTTTCCCCAATAATAGTGAATCATTGATTAGGCTATACTTAAAGTGTCTTACTTCTCTACATGTTTCACTATTGCAGAGCTTTTGTAGCTCCAGTTGACATTCAACCATTCACCAGTGAGTCAAGAAACAAATTGCTGGCTAGATGTAAAGGAAAGACGGTCAAATACTTTTCCCAAGCCGTGAGGGAAATTTGTGACACATTTGAAGATTTGCAGCATAAAAGTTCAGATTCTTTGAAAGATGGTAATGATGGAGAAAGTTTTCAACCTGATGTTAATTCTACAGAGATGGTGGAAGATGGGATGACTACTGATGGACCTAGTGGTGAAACATCTTTTAATGATATTGTAAATCATGGCCCTGGATTAGAACGCTGCTCTCATATACACAGGGAAATGGATTATGAGGATGAAAAGCCTAGCGTCTCACCTATTGCTAATGATGGTTCTTCATCAGCTGTTTCCACGAAAAAACAAATTGAACTTTGCAATGATGATGTAAGCTCGCCTAAGGAAAAGAGTATATCCAATTCTAGTGCAGGTACAACGATCTTTTTCTTTCTTTCTTTCTGATAAGGAGCAATTCTTTTTGTTGTTAAAATAGGTTTTGTTAATGATAAGTTAATAGTTGGTTATGTAGAAGGCTTTAGTGCTTGCTACAGTTGCTTATCTGCTGCTAGAATAAGATTGTAGTAGTATGTTCACTAGTTAAATGGATGATTTCTTTTGTATGCTTCAGGTCATAATAAAAATTCAAAGCCTGGACTGAAGGTTGAAACTAATGGGCAGAAGTCAAAGAAGATTGCTAGAGCTTCAAAGAAAAAACATGATGATGATGATGGTGATGATGGAATAAACAACTTTCATAGCCCAGCAGGTGTCGGTTCTGCTGTTCAAAGCAGTCATTCTGAATCAACTGGCATTGAGAACTCGAAGGATATAATGCGAAAAAATTCCTCGCATGGTAGTAAGAATGAAGGAACTGCAGGTGTAGTAAAGTCAGAATTTGGCGGTAATATTAAAAAACCAAAGAAACTGTTAAAAGATAAAACACTTGTTGGGGTGGCTGATGATTTTTCAACGGACGTTGAAGGTGTCCCTACAGAGCGCAATAGCGTTGAACGTACTGGAAGGAAAATGAAGTCTGAACCTGGGGTAGGGAAAGATAATGTTCTTAATAATGGGGTTCTGCATCCTACAAAAAGGTCCAAGTGCTCGGATGATGTGCCGAAGAGGTCCCATACACAGAGGAAAAATGATGTGTCAGGCAAAGGAGGTAATGAAGAATTTAAAAAGTCGACACCGAGTTTGAAAACAAAAAACCGCTTGGCATCCAAGGGGCAGATGAATGGCATTGATTCTGGAGTTCTTGGTGATGAAGATGTTCTACCACCTGCAAAACGGCGTCGAGCAATTGAGGCTGTGTCTGGTTCTACTTTAATGTCTGAAGATAGAATAGCTGAAAGCTCTATTACACCTAAAAAGGGGGGAAACTCGGATGCTGTTAGAAACGTTCCTCAAATGCCCATGAAGAGGAGAGCTGTTCGCATCTGTGATGATGATGAAGATGAACCCAAGACTCCCGTGCATGGAGGGTCAGCAAAAGGAGCTGGAGTTGATGGAGTTCCGCACATTTCAGTGCCGGTTGAAGAAGGCGCTGCAGCAACTGAAACTATTCAAGCTTCTCCTAGTGTGAGAAACTTAAGTGTGAATGCAAAAGAAGAAGTGCCATCATCTAAGCAATTTGCTCAGCCTTCACCTAATTCTCGGCAAGATATTACAGAAATAGTTGAGAGGCAGTTCTCTAATAGTCCTGGGAAAGCAGAATCTGAAAAGAAATCATCTGAAGAGGTTATAAAGGTTTTGGTCTCTCCCATCAAGTCTCCTGTGATGGTTGATTCTTACAACCCAACGGTAGAACCTCTTAAAGTGAACAAGCCTGTAGGCAAGGTCTCTGGTAATGTTTCACAAAAGAAGGGTCAAGCAGGATCCTTTAAGGCCTCAAGTGGGATTTATGATGGTGGGCATCGCTCTCAAAATAATGCAGTAAATGAGAGAAATAGGCCCGTTATTTCTGGGGAGAAGCAGAAATCTACTCCAAAATCAACATCACGAGTGGTTGATTCTGCAGCTGTCTTGAGGAAACCTAGTGAAAGCAACTTGTTTTCTAGCGAAAGGTGTGCTAGAATATGCCTCTCCTATTGTTATATACAAACTCTACATACACAAATCTTTTCTGGTGGTAATGTATTCTTCTGGATGATACAGGTTAGAATATGTTCGAGGGGATCGAACAACTTCATTGGCTCATTCAAGAAATGCAGACTCAAATAAGTCAATGAAGCATCTGATTGCAGTTGCCCAGGCAAAAAGAAAACAAGCTCAATCACAAAACTTTGTGCATGACGGTCTTAATTATTCACAGATCACCACCACTGAAGCAATCATTAGAAGTCCTGGCTCTAGTTTTGTTGTTCAGCCCATTCCCGCAGGTCCTGGAATTATGGTTCAAACAGATGGACAAGGATACGGTTCTCAGACATCACTTGCTTCTCCATCTTCTCGTGTGCATCATTATATGTCAAATGATCAGCCTGATACTGCTGAATTTGAGGAGACAAGGACCAGTTCAGGACATCGCCCTGCTGGGGGTTCCCTTAGTGGTGGAACTGAGGCAGCTGTTGCTCGTGATGCTTTTGAAGGGATGATTGAAACACTATCAAGAACAAAAGAAAGCATCGGCCGTGCAACACGACATGCAATCGACTGTGCAAAGCATGGCATTGCCAATGAGGTAGAAATATGCATTACTCTTGTATGTGTGTCCTCTGTGTGTATGCCTTCTTTTCGTGATGCATATATTAGGAAACCCAACGCATTTGCACTATTCAATGCTATGTAGTGACATTCTGATGATCCTGTTTTGGGTCTCAAAATTGTTTTATAATGCTGGCCCACACACAAGATATATGGCCTTTTTTGATTGTAGGAAGTTTGGGATGCATCTTGCAATGGCTCTTTAAATATCTTGGTGATACAGGGTGGGAGATGAACGTAATAATTCGATGATAGTGGGGACTAAATATAGGAACATGCAGAATGGTTATATATTTCGATGAAGTGATGGGAAAGAGAACAACCCCAACGACATCAACAAATCTTTTGCTCCTAGTTCATTGTACGCTATAAATACAACCCCAACAACTTAATGAAGAGGTGAAACTAAGTCAAATTGTTTAGTGGAGAACTCCATGGGCTGCTAGACGTGAATAGCTTCCTTGTTGTCAAGGGTGATCCATTTTGTACATTTCACTATATAAAATATCCTCTTAGTTTTGCCTTTATGTTCTTCGTGACCAACCTTTGGCTCTCATAACGACCTTCTCTTGCTATATATATTTCTTCCACACGGTGCATTTAGAGGTGGATGCCCAAGCCATCTCAAGGGTGTTCCTTTTAACTTCTCAAGTTGCCTTACTCTGACCTCCTTGTGTAGATTGTCATTGCTTATAATATCCCTATTCTTGGCTACCAATCCACCTTGGTATTCACATTTCTGCTATTGTTTATCTTGTGCACATGTTATCTTTTAGTAGCCTTGCATTCAATCTCATAAATCGTGTCAAGCCGCATCTCATCTTACAGTAATTATCTTCTTCAATGGCACTTCCAATAACAGAAGACGAGGGTCTAATGCTGTTTTCAATTGGATCTTATCCTATAGCCAGTATCCATTTCTGTCTCGGTTCTTTTGTTATGTCCAAATGACCGAAACAATCTTCCAGATTTGTCTATACTTGCTTAGAATGTCTTCTTTTTATCCAAACAAGTCTTTATTGTGTTATGTTCTCTCCAGCTTAATCTAAAACTTTTTAGATTCCATGCCATTTCTCCATGCGTTCAACTTTACATTAATATCTTATGTGGTCTTGTCAAGGCAAGTTGCACACTGCCATCAGTGTGAAACATACACTATGATCTTTTATTTTCTTCATGAGCTCATCCATAACCCCAAGAAAAGAGCACTTAGTAGACCCTCGTTGTGATACAATATTGGTAATGAAAGAATGTCGTTCCATCACATTCTTTCACACTCACTAGTACACTGTCTTAATATGTTCAATCATGTTCATGTATTAGGGACTTTCCTCTTGAGTCCATCACGTCTTCTTGATAGCCATCATTATGATTTATCTGGATCAGCTAGCACTACTTATAGGTCCTACCTATGTCACTGCATCCATGAGATGTCCGATTAAAAGATTAGCCTCTATTTTTATTTTATTTTTCTTGGCATAAAATCAAATTGATCTTCCAACACTTAGGTTACAACTCTTAAGCTGTGTTCAATAACCTGTTCCCGTAGTCCCATTATGTGGCACTGGCAGTGTTGTAAGCTTGTACGGTCATCTTTTTGGTGTTACGACATAAGTGCTGTTATAACAATTTGTAAACTACCTTAATAATTTCTCACAGAAGCCTGTCCTGGCCATTAATTGTTCTGAGCAGTGCCATTAATTAGATGTTCTCGTGGCAGTTATAATGTTGGATGGAGGTGTATGGTTGTAGGCTTTCAGTTGCTTAACTTATAAGATGGTCTCTTTGATCTTATAACAGCAATCTCTTTTGGCTTTCAGGGACTTAGATCTTTCACTTCGTTAGTGATGCGACAGATTTCTAACATTTCATTCTGAAGGGGCTTTTGTTCATTGATTTCTATGTTTTAGCTTCTAGAGAATTGGTTGGCATATGATAACTCTAATTAATTAGTTTGAGATGTATGAGGAACAGGTTCAAATATATTAGTTGCTAAGTGCCCAGCCTACTTAAAACATTTTGATCAACTGTTGGAAAGTAGAAGATAGGTTGATGATCCTTGAAGTGACGGTAAATCCTTTTCATTGAGAATCATAATGAGGGGATGTCGATTCCAAATTCTGTTATTTGACTGACCCTTGTCTTCCTTCTGCCGGTTTATCTGATTTATTTGGGCAGATGTTGGATTCAACATGTTGTATTTGGGTTTATATTTTTAAGATCTGTTCAGAAACTTTCTTCATCGTTGTTAACATCATTGAAATGAACTGCTTTCTGTACCACAATAGATTCCGGTTATCAAATATTAACATTGAATGGTAGTTTTATGCTATCACTATGCTCTTCCTTACATATCTTGTTTTAACACTACTATGATGAAATTATTATTGAAGATGTGTAATTGGTTGGGATTACATATTTTTCATGATTTTCATCCCCTGCAGGTTGTGGAACTTCTTACCCGTAAGTTGGAAAGTGAATCCAGCTTCCATCGAAGAGTGGATCTTTTCTTTCTGGTGGATTCTATTACTCAGTGCTCACATTCACAAAAAGGTAGAATATCCTGAAAAGGACATCCTCCTATGCTTACTCTTCCCAATGGTCTAGACATGTTATTTTTGTTTTAATGTTTATTTGATTTTGTGTTCATTATTTATTTTTTATAGTTGTGTTTTTGGAAGGGTAAATTGCATGAAATTGTAACATACTTCTTTTAAATTTCTATTTTGGTTAGCGAACTTTCAAAACCTTTATTTTGGTACCTGAGATGTAATACTCAAAACATTTAAGTACCTGGGCATTGACCGGTTACCATGCTGATGTGTCAAATTGGCATGACATACAACTCTGTATCCTTTGCTGATTTGACCGATGATGTGGATTTTTTTGATATGAAAGTAGTATTAATTTTTAAATTAATAATTTTGGACCCTATAAAACCAATGGTGATAGGAACTCCGGCTGATATCATATCTCAAATACCAAATGAAGGGTTTTGAAAGTATGTTACCTAAAATAGAAATGAGAGTAAAATAGGTTACATTTTCATGCAATTTATCCTTTTGGGAATGCATTAAAGTTATGTTGTCTTTGACACAGATAATGACATTGTTGTTTGCTATTCTCTTTCTTTAGAAATGTGGTTTGAGAAGACGCAATATTTTTGACTTGTACTGGCCTCATTACATGTGATGTTTTTTTTTTTTTCAGGCATTGCTGGTGCCTCTTATATCCCTATCGTCCAAGCTGCATTACCTCGTCTTTTAGGAGCTGCTGCTCCGCCAGGTGCTAATGCTCGCGAGAATCGTCGGCAATGCCTAAAGGTGATCGATCACTCCATCTAGCAGATTATAAGTTGGTTTATAATTTCCTTTTTCCAGGAGAATCTGAGTTGTTGTTTAATCTGTAGGTTCTAAAATTGTGGCTTGAGAGGAAAATCTTACCTGATTCTCTACTTCGGAGCTGTATAGAGGACATCGGAACTTCAAATGACGATGCTTCTACTGGGTTCTTCTCCAAGCGTCCATCTCGATCGGAACGGGCTGTTGATGATCCTATTAGAGAGATGGAGGGCATGCTTGTTGATGAATATGGGAGGTGTGAAATCTTTAATTCTCTAATCTGCAGAGAATTTTTCTTGGTCTATTTTTTTGCATATATTTCAATTGCAAAATCTGGAGTATTAATTCACCAATATATTTTCTGATGCTCTTAAATTGTTAGATATTACAATTGTGTATGCAAATTGATGCTATTTGACTTGGAAGATACGCAAGTCTTTCACACCTATCTCAAAAATTTCAATCTAAATATGAGGCTTTCACTTGCTGTGATGGTCATGGGGCTCACAAGGATGATGTTTCAGTTTTATGCTATCATATTCTTGTTTCCTAGTGTCATTGTTAAGGTGGTTTATATGATATGAGAAATGTTCAGAACCACAAAATCTAATGCATATCAGAATTCTATGTACCAGAAAGTTCTATATTTCTACTGATAAGTTGATTTTGTATTCGGCTGTTAATCATATTCACAACCGTTCTTCCACTTCAATTATTTTCTCAATTTGATGTAGACTTGTGTGTAATCTCTACCTTGCCTCTTCATTTCATCAGTTTTTTTTGAGTCATTGTATTAGTTTATTTAATTCTGGCCCTGGAACTGTTCTTTCTGAACACACATGCAACTTGGTATATAGAGTCTGTAGCTATATGTTGGTCCCTTTTATTCTTGAGTTTCTTGCCACATTCAGTGTGCGTATGCAAAATAAAATGTGTATTGTGCCATATATGCCTTCCAGATTTGAAGCATTTGAAGAAGTTAATATAATATTGTTTTACGGACTTCTTTCAGCAATGCGACGTTTCAATTGCCTGGATTTTTGTCAACTAATGTCTTTGAAGAAGATGATGATGACATTCTAAACTTTACACATAAAGAAGGGATTGGTAAATCAACACTAGAGCTAAATCCTTCGTCAGGAGAACTTGAAAATTGTTCAGTAACTCCCAATGACAGACGCCACTGCATCTTGGAGGATGTTGATGGTGAACTTGAAATGGAAGATGTGTCTGGACACCCAAAAGATGAAAAATTCTTGACAGTTGGTTCCTATAAGGCTGTACAACTGGAGGAAATGTCAGACAGGACAATGGATGCGGGCTCAAATAATTCCAATGAGGTATCCCCTCTCCGTGAGGATTCCCCACCGCTGCCTCTTGATTCTCCCCCTCCCACTCCTCCTTTGCCTTCTTCACCACCGCCACCTATGTCACCCATGGTGCCGCCACCTCCATCATCTCCATCGCCTCAACCCCCACCTCCACCTCCACCTCCTCCCCCGCCTCCATCACAAACATATCCTCTTCAGCCATCTAATGCAGGTCCACCACAGACGTTTCCTCAAACATCACTGCCTCTTCAAGCATTGCCTCCTCAGACTTCTACAACACCTCAACACGTGCACCAATATCAGTCGTCTATGCCATCCAATGTAAGACTTAAATATTGCTTTCATGATATTGTTGTGCATGAAGATTTCACATTGAATACAATTATATGTATGAGAACCAATTTGTCCAGGTATCTTTGAACACTCGTCTTGGAGCTCACGTTGATGCTGCAGTCAGAGGTGAAATGTTCCCCCAGCAACCATCATGCTTTGTGCCGGCTGTAGCCTCCAGTTCCCGTGAACCTTCTGGATTTAATTCTTCAAGGACCGTAGAATATGGACATGAAACTTATACAAATCCTCAGGGTTCTCAATCAAATCAGCAGTTCCAAGCCGCCAATGTACCTTTGCCTCCAAGAGCGTTCCAACCTCCGATGCTTCCTCAAACTGCAGCTGGTCAATTTCAATATCCCAAGCCTGCAATGCTGCAGCATCCATACCCCCCTCTATATGGATTAACAAAGCCTCCTGATGGGCCGAGGAGATATGGGGCTGATGAGCAATGGAGACCGGCTTCAAATGAATTCAGCACTGATAATCAACGTGGTGCATGGATAAGTAGTGGGAGAACTTCACTGTCCTCGGGTCCTCCCTTCACTCAGGAAGGTATGAAACTTCACTTTTAACAGTGTTGTAATTAAGATCTTAAGCATCTTTCAGAAAAAAAAGATCTATAAAGCATGAAAGATTTACATAGTTAATGATTGATGTTAAGTAATGTATGCGCTTGGTACCCTGGGTGTGCTTTAGTTGATGTTTAGTAATGCATAAGCATATCTCTTGAATGTGCTTTTGGCATCTACCAAACCTCATGTTTGCATGAGGATGTGCAGTTTTTGCAACTCTTAGTTAATATTACGTATTTCTTTTTTGGAGCTATAAAGCTAATGTGTGAAGGGGATGGTTATGTGTCTTATCCTCTTTCATCTAGAGATCTAAAAGAGGTTATAGAACTTGCATTTTTAAGGCATCACTTGGTTATTTTTATATTAGTTTTGTCGTCTCTTATTTGTTTGGGATGCAGTGGGGCATCAAAAACCAAACCAAACCAAACACACCCAGTATGTTCCTTTAGGAAGTTGGGTCTGTTCTTTTTTTTTGGGGGGGGGGGGAGTACACAAACTTGTCATCTATCCCAAGGAGTAGAGTGGTTGTTACCGTGAAGACCCCAACTTGCAAAAAGGTGTTTGCAAAAAGATTTTTAGTGAAGATCTGAGTGCTTTGGAAGGTTTAGGGCATCAGAGAAAATACTACACATATAAAAAGTGTATGTAAAACAAATTTAAGAAAAATGATTTAGAACACACTTAAGGAAGGAGTTCACCAACTAAGCCGAATATGCAATGGCCAGCATAACACTAATGGTACCGTTAGTAACAAGTAGAGCGAAACATATTGACTGCAAAGAAGACGATCTTTTCTCAACATGCAACTCATTTGTTCTAATGGGACCATTTGCTAGATGGAAAGTTAAGTAGACTATAAAGCTTATAGAAAATGAATGTCTAAAGAGGGAAGTTGCATCTAATGATGTCTACATCTGACTTTTTTGTTTGTGGCAAATTTTTTGGGTTTGGGTTAAATGATATTGTGTAAAATTAGAATTAGAATTAAGAGATTGTTTCAATTAAATTAGAGAAGTGGCAAGGTTAGTATTGGAAAACTAGAACTTTATCCTTTCTCAGTCAGACGGTCCTTCTCTTATAACTCAAATTGATGGATGTACCTGTAGGTGGTGGTGATTGTTGTATTGTGGGTCTATTTGAATTATCAAAAATTAAATAAGTAGGTTCAAATTGGATTTGGGTATATGCATGATCTCATTTGGGTGATACTGATCTAGTGTTAGCCTGTTAGGAAGTACCCTTGATATCTGAATATGAATATTATAGCTTTTGAGGTCGGTAGTGGACCATAGTGGGCAACATACAAGTTACAGTTGGAGCTGACTTATGCGGGTATTGTATTCAGGTTCTACTTTTAGAATCCAACCATACTTGTTAATATGTGAGTTAATCGGTATCACTGGCTGCTGCTGGGAAGAATATGCTAGTTGCTAAGTTTAAGGTTCTTTCAAGAATTGTTGCTGTTCCAATCCATAGGAACCAATAGAAAAGGAAATTTCAATAGCAAAGTAGGAAAGTATTTTTGGAAGCAATGGCAGTGGTGGAACTAATATAACTTCTTTAGATCCCCAGGTTTTGAGTTACAGTTCTGTGACTAAATATACTCTGTTTGAAAATGGAAATACCATCAGGCTGCTAGCTAGTCCACTAGAGTTTTAATCCCATAAGTACAAGATACACAATCACATTATAATCTTGGGTTGAGGTAACATTAAAATAAACACGAGTTTCAGAAAATATATCGATTACCCATTAATGATATATCTACTGGCTGAGATTCAAATATGATGATAGGGGGCATAAAATTAGATCAGCGAATGGAAGGCCGAGTTTTGGTCGGGGCTTATCTGTCTTGACACATTTAATCTTAATGTTTTTTGCTAATTATTCAATCTTTTTTGGGTAGTAAGTACTAAGTAATAGCTAAACAAAGTCATGGAAAGCATGGAAGGTGGTCAATCTTTGAAAGCATCCGTGCCTTTGACCACTACGACTACATTTGATGCTTGTTCAAAATGCGTCAATGGAGATATGGCTTGGGAATTGGGAGGATGGAAAAATCCAATAGGTAAAGTTAATAGTTCAGACACATTATGTGATAAAAAAGTACGTGGACGGACATAAGATTGAAACAACATTCAAGGTTTAAAGTATGGAAACGCGAGAGGATGTCTCTTCTCAGTGTCTCGAGACGTAAGCCTCGAGGCAGAAAATAAGGATAAATAGAAGCATTTTTATATAGGTAATACATATTTGATACTAATATTTAGAATCACAATGTTGTTGATAAAGCTTAAATATTTTAATTTATGTATTTCATATCTAATTTTTTTTTTCATTTTTTTTAACAAACAAATTAAATCGACACACATAAAGAGAAACGATAAAAGTCCCACACATATTAAAAGAGACAATAAATGTGACACGCATGTCAAGAAAAGAAGAAAAGTCACCCGTTCATGTTAAATCGAAGAGTCCTGCTTCTTCTCTTATCCCTGATACATAGTCTTGCCATATGAAAACGAAAAGTCACAGGTGTTTATGGTCTATGAGATTACTCCTGGATTTGTGAACAAGGCTTTCATTAGTTTACCAGTTCCTTACTCTGCCGAGGCAACTAGTGCCCTTGAGGACTTGTTGCTAGGGGCATCCTGGTAGGCAATAAGTCAATTTCAACCTTAGAGATAGGCTATGGCTATGATCATTTGGGTGTGTCAAATTTGTGGATTCAAATCTGGGAGGGTCCTATAGGAATGAGGTCCAATATTCATAGGAGGTTACATAAGATGTAGGTCATATTCGAACATGAGAAATGCTGATCTTCGGCACTGGCAATTTCTCTCGTGTTGCAGTCATTCGATTTTGCATATCCTGGCAAAAAATTGTCACAATTTTCCCTCGGTGCTGCCCTATGTTAATCAACTCCATTTCAGCATCCTCAGTTCACAGCTTCTGTGCATGACTCGCATTGCCATTTGCCAACTTTATCTCACCCTACATTATCTGGACCTTGTGCTTGAATAAGGTATCCTACACCGTTGGGTGCAAAATCTGCATATAAGCATAACCCTATGCAGACTCTCTGTTTTTGCTGTTGTCTCTTGTTTATTGGCTCAATAACCTCATTTTCCAGACAGCACCTTGAATATCTAAAATGACCCAAAAGGACAATAAACTGTGGATCAAAAGCACCATTAAGGGGCCGTTTACTTAACACTTACTTGGTAAGTGCTTAACATGAGAAGGGTCAAGAATCTTACCGGGTAAGAGCAATGAAAAGGATAGAGAGTCTTACCCGGTAAGTAAGGATGGCGACTCTTACCCAAGTAAGCACTTTCCCAGTAACTTGTTGCATTCGATATGTTTTGATGTACTAAAATCTTACGTATCAAAATAAATTATAATTTTGAATCCTATCGGTAAGCACTTACCGGGTAAGCATTTGGGTAAACGGCCCCTAAGCCTTTAATCAGTTGAAACAAAGCATAATAGGCATGGCCGGGTGGAACCTGGAATACACTATGACCAATATGTACTAATACAACTTAATTCTAAGGTTACGGTCATCGTAATAACTACAAAGATCAATTTTTAATGCTTTGCACTTTATAGATTCCAAGGCAAGTATCTCTTGGAGCATTTGTCGCTGACCTAAATAAGATCTCTATATGATATACTTGCCAATTGTGACCTGTTTCTGTTGATGATCAAATAAATAGAAGTTTTTTTTTTCTTGTTGCAATTTCAAGTAATTTCTTGTCTTTCCTCCGAACTGCAGATAAACTCCCCATGTTATATATGAATAATTCCCTAATAAACGCATCAAATTTGAATAGTCATACCTTTCAAAGTTCTTGTGAAACTTGAGGATGATTGTTGAGAATATTATCACTGCGATTGTTCCTTCTCTCTTCTATTGGTAAGACATGGACCTGCTTTAGATGATTTGCCTTTTTTGTTAACTTCTATTGTGAATGATGGAAGTAATAAGCTTTCAGTTTAACTAAATAAGGTACACAAACTTTTGGCTTTAGAAATCCAAAGTCTGCTGATAAAAAAGATATTATTTGCACCAAGTTGATTTAACAAAAAACTAAATGCAAGCTTCAGGACATAAAAAAAAATCAAATGTAAAACTACAATTTAACCGCCAAACTTTTATATGTGCAATATCATCAAAACAAATATCTTGTAATGAAGAGGAAAGTATTGTCCCGACATTCAGGATTACAATAAACTTGGAAAATTATTTTCTGTATCTAAAATGGCATGTAAACCCACAAGCTAGTTGGAATTAAAATTTCAACATCAGGGCATCCCCTGATATTTTCTCACGTAGAAGTACAAAAGAGAAGCAAAATAGCCTTAGAAATACACAGATATCATTCATTCATGGCGTAGCTCATGATTAGAAAAAATAACTTCAATGTTGAATAATCCACATTGAGTCAGAGTCTGCTGGGAAGTAGAGGATAAGCTTCTGATGGAAGTAAACACTTGACGTAAAAAATTAAATAATAGCAAGATTTATGCATTCAACATACTTGTGCAGGTTTGTCAACTGCCAATGTATTGTCTGGATCGTCGACCGTGCTTTTGTAGGATCACATATCTATTCTATTAATCTATGGTATATGGTGTGGTATGTTGTTCAAGGGAAACATATTTGTTTGGCCTGTAACCCATTCCGCCAATAGTATTTCTGTTTGGTCATCATATACCATGTTCTGGTCACAAAATCTGCTTTTTTGCCGAAAGCAAGGCTACCCCGGTACATTTCCCCTAATGAGCAATCAGTATAAGCTCGTTTCAATATGAGCAACTAATCTCGGTTCTGGTTGTTGTTGGATAGAGTACTTGAAAGTATTGCAAGAACTGTAGTTTGTTGACTGATTTGTTTTTACCGTGCCAGGTTACTTTCGACCACCTATGGAGAGACCCCCAACAAATAATGTTGGTTTTCAACCCACGGGCCAAAATATAGTTCCAGCCGGAGCTCCAATTCCAGGTGATCTAAGCTGTGCTTTTTCTTCATCTTGCATCTTGACCTCTTAAACCATGGTTCTTGAGCCTAGTTTAAGTTCCTATTTTGTTGTCTTCAGGCCATAGTGGTTCGCTGATGATGCCATGTAGGCCAGACATTAATTCTTGGAGACCAGCTTAAGAAAGCTGCAGCTAGGACATTGATACCTGTAAGCTTCTCTCCTCATGTAAAAGAATTTATAACAGCCTACTCAGGCTCCGTTTCACTGATCCTGTTTCTTTTTCTTTACACTAGGCGAGATAATCCCAATAAGGACATGATGTGATCATGAATGTTCATTTTGCAGTTACTCATGTTCTATTTGCGTTAATATTTTTCCTGGAAGTTCCCAATTTAAATTCAGAAATTTCTTTTGAAGTATATAATATTCATATACTCGAATACTCACGCACACTCCTCGCCATTGTTGAGGTTTGAACCCTTGACCTTCTGGGAGGCTGGGTCTACTGGTAACCTGGGCACCGCTGGGCCAATGTCCCTTTGGTAAATTTCAGCAATTTTGTTCAGCAATGAGTTCAAAATTTTCTTGATAATAGCTTTCATTATGTATCCAGTTATAGGTGGTGACTTGGGTTGAAATATGTCATAAAGCTTGGAAGATTCGGTGCCTTTTTGTTTGCATATCTACTACCAGTTGATGAAGTTGTGAAGGCCCTTTGCAGGATTGTATATTGTAGTTTTGTCTTGGCAAATGCTTCCCAGACACATTTACTGAGTGTAAGCCCGCATCACTCATTTCATACCTCTTCATTCAACTAATGTAAACTAGATATACTATATAAATCATTTATCTTTAGAACAAAATGAGTTACTAGTCCAAGCCAGTTTACAACCTGGCTGAAATAGAAATGGAAAACACCTTCTATGGTGGGTTTTAAATCCTCTTTTTATGTTCCCACATGGATTTGAAATTTTTTCGTGTTGGAATATTACTGTTTTTGTTTCTCTTTGACTTACTTTTCACTATGCTCCACTTATTACTGTTCATACATGGGACAAACCTGTCATTTCACCTGTGGACTTTTCTGGTTGTTTGCCAAAGATGAATCATTTTTTTTTGTATTTCTATGTTTAAGTTTTGTTGGCCCCCATTATTTTCATGTTCTTTCTTGGCCATAAAGTTGCGGGTTATTTTAATACTCGAATGGTCTAAGATTCTTTTAAATTTTTTGGTGTTGATCTGTTGAAGGTTGTTGGGTAACCTTATCCTGCATGAGTTCAAATTTTTGATGGATTTGTTGTGCACAGCAGCAGCGGAGGTGTCAGTCTTCAGATTGCTTTTATGTATCAGTTGGCTTATTTTTTGCACACTTATGTGTTTGTGTGTGCTTTTGCCAAACACACACACACACCTACCTGTCTGCACATGTATAGATATGACTATGTTTATATATATACACGCATACATGTGTGTATATGTGTACGTATGTATACATGTACAGTTGTATATATTTAAGTGCATATATGTATTTGTGAATACACATAGGCTTTTGTATAATGTATGGATGTATATGTAAGTGCATATATACATATGCTTCCCCTGATGGAATTGAGCTAACCACTGAATGTGGCTCCAAACTCCCCCTTTTTTTGTCCTTGCAACCCTCATATTTTACTCGGTCATCTATTTCTGGCATTTTCATTTGGAAGACCTGGCAAAAAATCAAGGTTTAAAATGCATGTTAAATTGTACCTCCATTTATTGCTAGGATCCTCCCTTCCATCTCTTTCTGTGCCTACTTGAGATTCTAATGCACTAGTTGAGTGTTGCTACGCATGCCTGCTATTTAGCAGGTTGTTGTCAATGATGTTGTTGTGTTTTACCATACACATAGGCGGTGGGTGTGTAGTAATATACAAGTCTTCTTTTCAGTTCTGAGAGTTTATCCTTGTGGATTCCCCTTTTATGTTCAAACTTGGGTACACGATTGAATACTTTAGGCAACTAGCCAACTTCAACTGGGGTTGTGGCTCTTTCTCTCTTCTCCAAAACATTCAAAATTGTCAGTCTCAAACCCGTAACCAGGTGAGGCTGTGGTCTTGAACTGTGTGGTCTCTTTACATGATTACATCATGATTCAGTGGTCAAATAGGATGATGAGATCTATAGCGACATAGGGAACCAATCGATGGTATTGGAGATGGTTTCACTGAGATGAATTGGATCTGAAGAGTGTCATGTAGAATAAATGTTGTATTGAAGTGGAAAAGGGTGGAGTTGGTGTTGCAATTAATGGTTAGTGTAGAAAATATTCAAGACTTTGAGGAATGTATGTGTTCACTGGAATTTAACACTTGTGTCCCAATTCAAATTAGCAGACATAAGTAATAAGAAGTCAAATTAAATGAGCTGAAGTGCCTGATTTGTATAGGGTCATGTAATATTGTCCAAATTTTTTGTTGTTTTAGAATTGTGTGATTATTTATGGGCAAAGCAAAGCAAAGCAATAAAGTTGATGTGAGTTTGTGTGGCGTACATCGTACTGAAGATCAGATCGGATTCCATCTGATTAGCAAGAGGATCGGGGAAGTGTCGTAAAGCTGTTAACCATGAGCAGTTGCATCTGTAGAGAATATGCAGGGAAGGAAAGGTCTGCTTGAAAAAACAAGTAAGAATTTCGCATTCTTTTTTAATACGTTTGTTTTCAGCAAATAGACTTGATTGTTTGTTAATAATCGATGGGGAAATTTTTTAGAGTTATTTGTGTCTATATATATATATACTCCCCATAACAAGACTGGATTTGGTAAAATGTGTGGCTATCATTGGTTTACTGAGCGCAAACATCACTGGACGATTAGGACTATTTTCAAACCACTTTATTCTTTTTTTCTTTTATATATATAGATAGATAGATAAGAGTGTGTTTCAAATGCAACTCATCGTATTTGTACAACCAATGCAACTCAATAAATTGAGATATTTATGGAAATGATGCGAGTTCATTTATTATGATTTGAATATTTATGGAAGATAAATATAATTCATTAATTATGATCAATACTATATATTAAGAAACAATCAAAGCTTCTATGAAATCACATATTAGTCAAATGAAATGGATGATTGAGATTAGGTTGTATTGGTTGCATATATGTCAAAGGTTGTATAATAACCAATCTCTCTCTCTCTCTCTCTCTATATATATATATATATATAGACTTGGGATCATGTGAGACCAAAAGTTTTTCGTGAGACCCGTAAGATCAATTCTTAACCCTTGGATTTGATCTAAAATCTGAAAATTCATAATCACAAAATTGTCACGAGACTTCTCAATAATCGCAAAATTGTCACCATGCAACTTTAGACCATTGAATCATTAACTTATAAATTTGATTAATGAACATAAATTGGTCTTACGGGTTTCACGAAAAACCCTTGGTCTCACGTGAACCCAACTCTCTCTCTCTCTCTCTCTCTCTCTCTCTCTATATATATATATATATATAACCAAAATGATATGTAAGCAATATAATTTAATTTTCAATAGTATTTTTATATTAATTAGTCATTCATTATTTTTATATATAGGACGTTTAAAATGCAACCCATCATATTTATACAATAGATGATTAGGGTTCATTAATTATGATCAATATTTGTCAATTTTTTTATGATATCACATATTCATCAAATTAAATGGACGGTTGAGATTTAGTTATATTGGTTGTACAAATGTAAAGTGTTGCATAATAACTCACACCTCTCTCTCTCTCTCTATATATATATATATATATATGAATCACATAATAGAATACGGATCCAACAAATTCTTTTTATTTATAGACAATATAAATAAGACAAGTCACTCTTGTGTTGAAGGGTCATATCTGTAATCGCATGTGATTAAGCGCAAAATCACATGTGATTTTGTGGTCTCGTGCTATCTTGTTTTGCCTTTGTTCTCGTTTGATCCTCTCTCTCTATGTATATATATATGTATATATATATGTATATATATATATATGTATATATATATATATATATATATATGTAGAGGAGTGATCATATGAAAACCGCCCTCATTTGTGTAAACCGTGCAAACCACCTTCATCTGTCGATTTCATTGTTT